CACAGCTCGTTCTTCCGCCAAGGAGGAGTGGGGTGCTGGAGTGGCCGGCCTTCAGGGGGATGAGTCAGCTGCCAGATGGGTGACGGGATGGCAACATCTGGCAGTGAAGGAGGATGGAGGCTACCACAGCCTTCTTGAGCCAGCTAGACAGCTCCAGCCTACAGACCGTGCCTTGGAAGTACCTGTGCAGCACCCGGCTGCCACCTAGGAAGGCCCTCTTAAGGTTGACTCACAAAACCATGTTGGATTATCTTTGAGGTGGGCACATGTGGCCACACACTATTTTTCATTCCAGACTGTGCCACGAACATGGCCAATGTGTTTGTCAAAATCATGCTATTGCCCACCACACATGTTAGGAAAGTTTGCAGCATTGCACAAAACTGAGGTGCATGTTCATAATGAAAATTCAGATGATCTTCTTCTATGGTGCAAGACAAGCTGGGGTGTGTGTGTGGGATGCTGATAGTCACATACAGACTGATCTTGTGATATTGGCTCATAGATGTACCATGTCCTGGCCTAACTCACTTTGGATTTTTTGTGTGTGTCAAAAGATGGTGATTTGTGATCAGGACACTTGTCAAAATATTCACAAGACTTAACACCAACGTGCACCCCAAATAATTGAGAAAATCAAGTCATGCAGATTTTAAAACATCACAAGCATTGTATGGATTGATCTTTGTTCTCTGATGGCAGGAAAAATGTGGTAAGGCTCTTGCAAAAATCCAGAGCAGAACTCTGGCAAAAATCCAGAGCAGAACTGAAATCACATGCAATGATTTCTTGCCAATTCCTGTTTTCACAGCCCTGCTTTCACAGCCCTGCCCACCTATCAAGTCTTGAGAGGGTTTTGGGTTTATGCCTAGGGGTTACTATGGATGGAGGTTCATGACGTTGTACAGGAGGCAGCAATCAGCACCATCCCAAAGAAAAAGGAATACAAGAAAGCAAAGTGGCTGTCTGATGAGGCTTTACAAATAGCAGAGGAAAGAAGGAAAGCGAAAGGCAGAGGTGAAAAGGAAAGATTTACGCAACTGAATGCAGATTTCCAGAGAACAGCAAGGAGAGATAAGGAGGCCTTCCTGAATGAACAGTGCAAAGTAATAGAGGAAAACCATAGAATAGGAAGGACTAGAGATCTCTTCAAGACAATTGGAGGAATCAAGGGAACGTTCTGTGAAAACCTGGCCATGATAAAGGACAAAAATGGTAGGGACCTAACAGAAGCAGAAGAGATTAGGAAGAGGTGGCAAGAATACACAGAACTATACAAGAAGGATCTAAATGTCCTTGACAATCACGACAGTGTGATCACTGACCTTGAGCCAGACATCCTGGAGTGCAAAGTCAAATGGGCCTTAGAAAGCATTACTAATGACAAAGCTAGTGGAGGTGATGGTATCCCAGCTGAGCTATTCAAAGTCTTAAAAGATTATGCCGTTAAAGTACTGCACTCAACATGCCAGAAAATTTGGAAAAAGCAACAGTGGCTACAAGATTGGAAAAGGTCAGTTTATGTTCCAATCCCAAAGAAGGGCAATGCCACGGAATGTTCAAACTATCGCACAATTGCACTCATTTCACACGCTAGCAAGATCCTACAAGCTAGGCTTCAACAGTATGTGGATAGAGAACTGTCAGAAGTACAAGCTGGGTTTCGAAGAGGTAGAGGAACTAGAGATCAAATTGCCAACATTCGCTGGATTATGGAGAAAGCAAGAGAGTACCAGAAAAACATCTACTTCTGCTTCATTGACTATGCTAAAGCCTTTGACTGTGTGGATCACAACAAACTATGGCAGGTCCTTAAAGAGATGGGAGTACCAGACCACCTCACATGTCTCTTGAGAAACCTGTATAAGGAGAACGCAAAAGTTGGCTTGAAGCTCAACATCAAAAAAACTAAGATCATGGTATCTGGCCCCATCACTCCTTGGCAAACAGAAGGGGAAGTCATGGAAGCAGTGACAGAATTCATATTCCTGGGATCCAAGATCACTGCAGATGCTGACTGCAGCCATGAAATTAAAAGATGCCTTCTCTTTGAGAGGAAAGCTATGGCAAACCTAGACAGCATAATAAAAAGTAGAGTCATCACCCTGCCAACAAAAGTCCGTATGGTCAAAGCAATGGTATTCCCAGTAGTAATGTATGGCTGTGAGAGTTGGACCACAAGGAAGGCCGAGCGCCGAAGAATAGATGCTTTTGAATTATGGTGCTGGAGAAGACTCTTGAGAGTCCCTTGGACTGCAAGGAGATCAGATCAGTCAATCCTAAAAGAAATCAACCCTGACTGTTCCCTGGAAGGCCAGATAATGAAACTGAAGTTCAAATACTTTGGGCCATCAAATGAGAAGGGAGCACTCACTGGCGAAGACCCTGATGCTGGGAAAGATTGAAGGTCAAAGAAGATGGGGATGGCAAAGGATGAGATGTTCAGACAGTGTTACTGATGCAACAAACATGAAGTTGAGCAAGCTCCGGAGGACGATGGAAGACAGGAGGGCCTGGCATGATGTGGTCCACGGGGTTGCGAAGAGTCAGACTTGACTGTGTGACTGAACAACAACAACTAGGGGAGTAAATTTCCTCTATTGAGGGATACCATCAAGCAATGAGGAAGAAAAATGCAGCTGAAAGTTATAACATTCCATCAGGATTAAAGAAGGAGTTACTGAACAGACATTCTGCACCCAAAGGCCACTTTGGGAGAGTTGAGCCATCTTGGCAATGTAAAAGAAGATTCTTACTCTACTGAAGTATTGGTTCCTCTGAAAGATCAGATCCTTCTTTCTCACCTACATTAATCTGGGGACAACTATACACTGGGGACATGTAAATGACTAATGAGAAATTAATTCCCAGGCTATCCATTTTAGCAGTGCTGTAGGAGAGTTCGGAAAGTAGGGAACTGATTGGCTAGAGGTTGCTAGGTGGTGTTTTTGTTGCAATGGAAGAAAAGTGGTCTGGGGGAAAGTATGTTCTGAAGTCAAGATGGGGAGATCCAGTTTGCACCAAGACATACTGGACACTGGGGAGTAAGTAATGTACTTGAGTCTTTGGCTAGCCAGGTGGAAAGGAGAAAAGTGGGGTGGGTTACTAAGGTTGGTAAGGTTGAGAAGGG